CCCAGGCGGGCCTCTGTGGCTGGTGCATGGCAGGACAGTTGTGTCATTGCTTCTCTGTGCTATGATAGTTCTTGACCACGCAGTGACAGCTGGTTTGAGGGCCAGTGTGTGCCAGCGCATTCTGCCACGCAGCTTTCTGGGCTTTGGCTGCCCACCTCCTGGTTGCCTGTGTGGCTAGGAGGCATCCCAAAGGCTGGCACTCCCTGCCACGTGTCTTCCCGGGTGCTGGCAGCCTGCTTTCCTGGTGCCTACACATCTAGGGGGTGGCCCAAAGGCCGGTGGTCCCCGCCGCATGGCTTCCCGGGTGCAGGCAGCCTGCCTCCTGTGCACCTGCATGGCTAGGGGCGGCCCAACAGAGGAAACCTTGACAAATATTTACTAGTTTAAAATCACTGCCTTCTTCCATCCCTTCTTTCTTTCTTCCTCTTTTTGTTGAACATTTCTCATGATAACACCTTGTATTTCATTAAAAAGAAGCCAACCAGAAGAATTACTGGGATATATTTGGGGACAGTTACATGTATTAATCTAATTTTCACTTTATATGCAAATAAATGTGTCTGAATTTTTCCATTCTTCTGATAGCCATCTTGACACCATTTACCATAGACCACCTGATTGTTGTAACCAGAGAAGTCCCTGAAGCCTCAATTCTTGTGGTGTGATAGCACAAAAGGGGTCTTTATGCCCTCTTGCAAAGTCCAACATCAGTAAAAAATTAATATCAAAATGGCATAGATTTGTACCCACTAATGGGGAAAGATGAAGTCAACTTTATTCGGGAGACAAGACTGATTTTAGTCTTACCCAGCTGCCAAAAATAGTATTGTTAGAAAATACTTATTGCTCAAAAAGAAGAATGAAGGGAGGGCGGTTCCATCCATGTGTGTTTCTACTCTAGAGCTGCGTCCAGGGTTGTAAGCGACGGGGCCCTGGTGCCTTCTTTCAATGTCTGTTAGTCTTTGGAGAAAGGAGGTGAGACAGTCTGTGTTGTTTCACTCCTCAGAGCTTCCACCTCATTCTGCTGTTCCACGTCACCATGAACAATTCTGAGGCCCTGCTGGCTGTGGAATTACTCAGCGGTGCTGAGTTCGTATTGCATCTATCCACCTATTTCCAGGACCGGATGGAATAATGCCTGTAGCTTCCCTGGAAGAGGGATGGAACATCACATACATGCTGAAGACCTGGGAGATTCCCCTCTTTCCTCTGAACACATGAATGAGTAGGGTGCTAGGAACCTTCTTCTTCTTCCTAGGAGTCTCCTTTCTCATGTCCACGGGCAGCCTCATCAATATGCAAGAACAGTGTCACCTCTCCTGCCCGCAATGACTTTGCCTCCTTTTTCCATGTGGTGAAATCCTGTACATCTGCAAGACCTAGGTTAAGGGCACTTCCCTTAAAAATGCTTTTCTGACCCCCTCCCTCCTTCCACAGATTCATTCGTTTCCCACATTCCTCCTTCCCACATTCATTTCACATTCATGACAGCATTGACTGATGGCCTTGACTGTGATCACTGTGTATGTGTTTTCCTCCCGATGGACTGTGAGCTCGCCAGGGCAGGTCTTCCACTCTCCCACCTTTGCAGATCTGCATGTGCACATACCTGATGCTTCACAAATGAATGCTGAGTCGCTAACCCTTGAGACCCATACCTACTCTGTGCTACATCAACTCCCAGATTCTTCTTGAATATGTTCCTGGTGGATAGCAACGTCTTCCTGTGAAAAAGTTACGAATTCAGTTATGAATTATTTCCTTGCTTATTTCCTTTCCAAATTTCATTAGGCTGTTCTCTCTATGAAGTGCTATCATTGTACTGAAGTCTATCTTTCCTTTTAGAGTGGTTGATATTTACTTTACATTGGTGTGCTTTGATATTAGGGGTGTATGCACTTAAAACTGTCACCTCCTCTTGTTTAGTTGACACTTTTATCATTATATATGGACCTTTCTTATTGCTTTTTACTTCCTTTGATTTAAGATTTATTCCATGCTGGTATGGCTACTCCTGTTTTCTTTTGCATTGCATTTGCATGGAATATCTTATTGCATTTCTTCACTCTCAGACTGTGAAGTGTTCTTACAGGTGAAGTTAATTTCTTGTAAGGAACCTTTATTTGTATCTTGTTTCTTTTTTATTCAGTCACTGTATGGCTTTTAATTGGAGAATTTAATTACATTCAAGGTAAATATTGATAGGTAAGTCTTACCAGAGCCATTGTGTAACTTGTTTTGTACTTGTCTTTTTTTTTTTTTTTTGCGGTACTGGGGATCAAACTCATGACCTTGCACTTGCCAGGCAGGCCCTTATGCCACTGAGCTGTCTCCCCAGCCCCCTTGTTTTGTAGTTTTCTGTAGCTTTTTTCTTTTTCTCTTCTAGTTTTCATTTGGGACTAAGTGACTTCTTCCAGTGGTGTGTTTTAGTTCATTGCTCTTTTTTTAGCTTTATTTTTATTTGTACATATTGTCATACATAGGGATTATATTCATTGTAGGGAATTTGTACCTGTACATAATACATATTTTTTCCTTGCTTATTATGTTTGGTTTGTCTACTATATAAGCTTTGATTTTAGGTCATGTTGAGAATTACAGAAAACATCTTTTGACTCTAACAAGCTGATTTCAAATAAGAGCAACTTAACATAACCAAGAAGAAGAGAAGTCAATCCTGTAACAAAAGTCTCCGTTCCTCCCCACTTTTTGAATTTTTTACATTGCATTTAATGTAATCTATACTGCTCATCTCTAACACATTAAGGTACTTATTATGAGCTTTAGTTGTGTTGTATTTCAGACTTCATTCTGAAGAGCTGAACAGTTTACATACTGTATTTACAGTTTTAGAGTACTCTGACTTTGTATCATTGCTCTTTGTAGAGAGTTAATACCTTCTACATCTTCTTCTTAGGAATTAATATCTCTTTCAGTTTGGACAACTTCCTTTTGCTTTGTTGGAGGGCAAAAATTAGGGAGACGTATTCTCTCAGATAAGAGATTTGTTCATAAAAGCTCAATGAGATTGTAGGTATTATGCATATATTTTTTACAGAAGCTCTGAATGAAATATAGGAAATTAAGAAAAGTGAAAGTGGTGAGGGCAAAGAACAAATAAGAAAAAATAGAATAAAACTTTTAATTTCTGTACGATTTTATTTTATTTTATTTATTTTTTGTTTGCTTGTTTTTGTTTTTTTTCTGGTACCGGGAATTGAACTCACAACCTTTCACTTGCCAGGCAGGTGCCGTGCCGCTGAGCTAAATCCCCAGCCCCCTCTATTTTATTTTTAAGACTTAGAAATTTGGTACCTTTGCACAAAGTTAAATTAGCAATTCAACTGTTTTCAAAGAATTTATATAATTAATGATATAAAAGAATTTAAACACAAAATGAATGGAATAAATCAATAGAAAAAAGAAATCATTTTATTATATATAGAAATGTAATGCTTACAAATTTTTAAAACTTTTTATTGTACTTTTGTTTATTTTTGCAGTGCTAAAGAGCAAATGTTTAATTTTTAAATAAGATTTAAACCCACTGAAGAGAAAACACTCTCATGAAAAACAGAGAAATGCAAATTAAACAATAAGAAATGTAATTTGCAACATATTTTGCAGTTTTTATTATATAATAATTTACCTTACCCAAACACACAAATGTATAAAGAATAATTCCTTTTATTCTTTATCTGAAATTTCCCCAATGTTGGTAGCTTGCCACATTTTATTCACCATTCATTTGCTTAATAAGTAAATATAGATAAAGACAAAATGACAGGTAGAAATTTGCTCATGCAGTGGACATAGGGAGTGTAGGTTAAATGATCCACTCTTGTAGTGACAGCATGAAATAATTCTAGAGGCCTGATATTTAGCATGAAAAGTGGAGTGAAAATCTTGCATATTAAGAGTTTGGTAACAGAGTACAGTTTAGGCGTGTTCATTAAGAAGTGAACTATGGGAGCTCATGGGTATGTGAACTTACTTTCCTATGTTAATCATTTAACTGTGTATTTTTATATAAAAACAGCATGTCATGTACCTTAAACATATTTTCTGAAATGATCTTTTCTCTCTACAAACCTACATGAGTAACTCCTGCCTTCAGGGATATTATTAGAGATAAACCCAATACAGATTTTCAAAATAAGCAAATTAATGTCCACATGGTTCCTTCTACAGAGTTATATCCACCAAAATCCTTAATCCAGTGCAGGGCCCCAAGCTGCCTTCAGCTGTCCTCTGCCTGTAATGTGGGCGAGTTCCTCACTGTTTGTCCTCCTGCTTTTAAAGGGGGAAAAATGACTGTGACGCACACTCGGACTTTGCTGTCCCTCAGGCCTTTTCTAATTCTACTCAGGTTATGTGTTTTTGGCAGTCATGTTGCAGCAGGGGTTTTGTGTGCTTTACAAGTACGTCACATCTGGAAGCATGTGGAACCTATTTGCCTCATCCCTGGATATTAATTTTGGGAACTTAGTAAGGGAGCGGGCTATAAGGTAATTATTGTTTTTTACATTTTCCCTTTGTAATTAATAAATATCTTGCTAGGAGACACATGAGAAGATTTAAAATCTTATTCCTCATTATAAAGTGTTTAATGATAGTGTTTGGTTCTGTCAAGAGCACTTTAGAAGCTCTGTGTCTCAATCTAACACTGCACCTACGGTCTCTGTGCTCCATAACATGGTAAATTCACTACAGGAAGTCAGTCTGGAAGGAAAATCGGAAGTATAGGTGAATATTTCTATTCAAGACATTTAGCACACTGTTATTTAGTATAGTAAAAATTATAAACAATCTAAAATGACTAGGTTTGTTCCAGTACACTACAAAGACATATTTCACAAGTGACTAACATGGAATTTTTGAAGACATACATGAGACAGAGTAACTCTAGAACCAAGAAACCCTGTGAGCTCTCCATGTACCCTTGGGGTCTTTTCAGTTTGGACTCCAGATCGTTCCAAACCCAAGACCCCAAACAACACTCAGCCTCTGTCTGTCACTCGCCTCACTGTCCTGATCCACAGGCTCTTCACGGCCTTCTTCACTTCAGCGTTTCTCAGCGAGTAGATGACAGGGTTGAGCAGCGGGGTTATCACAGTGTAGAACACGGCTACCAGCTTATCTACAGGCAGAGTGGCAGAAGGCCTCAGATAGATGAAGACGCAAGGTGCGAAGAACAAAGTCACCACAGTGACATGGGATGCGCAGGTGGAGAGGGCTTTGCGCCGCCCCTCAGAGCTACGGCTCCTCAGATGGACCAAGATGACCACATAAGATGCTAATAGAATCACAAAGCTGACCACAGACAGAGTTCCCCCATTGACAACAATCAGGAGACCAATGAGGAAGGTGTCTGAGCAGGCAAGTTTGAGCAGAGGCAGCACATCACAGAAATAGTGGTCAATCACATTGGGGCCACAGAAGGGCAGCTGGAAGATGAGAAGGACCTGGGCAGTGGAGTGTAGGAAGCCTCCCGCCCACGCTATTCCCACGAGGACAGCACACACCTGCCAGTTCATGATAGTCGTGTAGTGCAGAGGTTTGCAGATGGCCACGTAGCGGTCATAGGCCATCACTGTCAGCACAAACATCTCAATGCCTCCGAAGAAATGCAGGAAGAAAAGCTGTGCCATGCAGCACCCCACTGAGATGGATTTCCTGTCAGCCAGCAGGTCCGAGATGAGTTTGGGGGCAGTAGTGGACGAGTAGCAGATCTCCACCAGGGACAGGCAGCTGAGGAAGAAGTACATGGGGGATCCAAGACTTGCGCTACTCACGACAGCGAGTATGAGGAGGAAATTCCCCAGCACAATTGCGGCGTACAGGAGCAGAAAGATCACAAAGCAAGCCCTCTGCACCTGCAGACTGGGAGAAAATCCTAGGAAAATGAATTCAGTGACATTGTATGGGCTCGGCATGAGGGCACAAGCGACAGGGACTTCAGTGGTGTGATCTGAAATGATACCAAAAAAAGAGAAATTTTACGAAGTAAGTGAATTACATAAGAGACCTGGCATAGCTACAATACACTGGTTATTGACAGTAGAATAGTGTGTGGCTGGAATAAAGGGGAAAATAATAGAAAATAAAGCCATAGAAAACAGAGAGACAGAGACAGAGAGAACCATCAGCGTGTGACGGGCTGTTGGGGGTGTTATGGATAACAGGAAATTATCAAGGACATTTACTAACTGGACAGTAAGATCACTCTGTGTACAGGTGGCGTGCTGAAAAGAGAGCAGAAGCAGGGGTGCAGATGAGACAGTTCTGAAGTCACCTTTCAGGGCTATGTGAAGCAGCCAGTGTAGTTATCATCACTGGGTCCCTGTTACATGGCTGTCTGGTGACTTTGAAAAATTTCAGTTCCTTTCCGCTGAAGCCACCCTGTAACGCACTTGTCCTTGTTTCTTCTCTGTCCTCGGCTCACAGAACAGTGTTCTCAGCCTGTGCTCTTGCCCTCTGAGTCTTCAGAAGAGGGGTCCCCCTGGTCCCTTTCTTGTACTCAGAATCCCCTAAGAAGGCCATGATGCTGATCACAGGCACATTGTGTGGTACAATTTCTACTCTGCCTCTTAATTCTTGTTTGCTACATTTAGTTGCTTGGTGCCTCGTCCTTTTCTGAGGGTCCAGCTCCATCTATAAAAGTCCTCTCTTTGGAACCTTCATTGCCCCTGGTGGAAACTAAGATCCCCCCTCACCCCCAGTGCAAGCCCTCACGCAGCCCAGCCCGTTAATTCCTCTTCATCACCCATACTGTTCAGTGACGGATTTGCAGAGGTTCCTGGTCCACGTGGGGCATTGTCCAAGTAGCTGAGGTCTGTGTGTATCTGCACAGACCTGTATACATGGAGACGCCCTCCAGGATGCCTGAAAGTAGGAGCAGAGCTCTCCACTCATCACACAGAGCTTCCTGCCTTCAGTGACCAAGATAGGCTCGGGGGACTAAAGGCCGCCAGGAGCCACAGAGAACTCATTAATGGAACTGATGATCAAAGAACACAGAGGAGGCACAAACCTGCTCTAGAGTCTTAGGCCCATGGGAAATTCCACCAAGAAGCCATTTATGGAAGAAAGTGCTGCTAGCAGTCTGGATGCCTAGGTTCACATTTAGGGCTTTGCAGGTAGCACCTATGTGGTAGCTAGAAAGTTTTTCACCTTTGTGAGTGTCAAGGTCCAAACTGCTGTATGCAGATGCTACCTGACCCACAGGTAGATGCCACTCTGTCCCAGGCTGAGTTAAGTCCCCTTCTGTATGCTGCTTGCGCTTTCTCTCAGAGAGGGGAAGTCCCTCCCTGCAACCCACAGGCCCGCACCGCAAGTACCCACTCTCTCAAGGACGTTTGCAGGCACAGCACCTACCAGGCCGAATCAGAACTGCTGTGTCGCCGTCTGTCCCTCTGCAGTGTGGGCCTCCTGGGGGCAGAGGTGACCTGCTCACCACCCCGTCTCCAGGGCTCACTGAAGTCACTGTGGGGAGCAGTGTTGAGGGACTGTCACTGTCACTGTCACTGGAGGGAGGGAGGGGCTGTGCACCTCAGGAGCCTTAGCACGAAGTGCTCAATATGAAGGGATAATGGTGCCCAGGCTCCGCTATCACACCTTCGCCATCCCTCAGCCCCAGGGCCTCCCCTGTGCTCGCCTCCAAGCCCAGACCCACGCAGGGGCGCTTGCGGAGTTCCCTGTGGGTCACAGCTCCATTCCTTCTGCTCTCAAGATGGAATCAACCATCACATGCAGAAGAAGCCAGAATGACAAAAGACAACTCGCAGTGGTGTTTCGCTGACTCTGCTGTTCTCAGCACAGGACGCTCTCTTTTCTGAGCACAGCTGTGTGGAGGAGGCCTGAGATCAGCAAACCCTGTGGGTTTCCAGGGACCAATGGGCAGGAAGCCCCGGGCCTGTGGCAATCAGAGCCCCCGCCTTGCTAGAGTCTCTGGGTGCGGGATCTGCTCCTCAGCCTTGGCATGAGGACACACAGATGAAGTGTGAAGTTTCTGCCCACCTTGGGTTTTGAAATGACAGCCAAGTAACCCTAGCTCACAGTTGTTGCATGGAGATCTGAAACGGGGGCAACTCAGCCTCCTGTTCACGGGGTTTACAACACCAGGGAGAAGCCGTGCCCAGGAGGAGGCTGGGCCCCAGGGAGCTGTTTTCTTGCCCTCCCCAAACTGGATGAAGATCCCAAGGGAAGCAGGACCTCAGAGTGCTCCTAGTAAACAGCTCCAGAACTCCACGAGCACACTCAAATCTCCCAGGGTTCACAGAGCTCCTACCTGTGTGGGGCTGTTCTCAGGGAAGGGAGACCTCACCTGTTCATCAGGACCTGAATCGCGTGGCTGTAAATAAAACAACACTGCTGAAAGTGTGGGTCAAAGGATTAGGGTCCATGGGTGTCAGGATACTGAGGTACCCTTGGCTTAGTGGAGGGGGATCAGTGGTTTCCATCCAGGGTGACTTTGTCCCACAAAGGACTCTTGGCGACATCTAAGGATGTTCCGTTGTCCAATCTGGTCTGGGAGGGAGGGTGTGATTCACACTCAGTAGATAGAGGCTGGTGATGCTGTGGGATATCCTACAAGGCCCAGGAGAGGCACACACAGCAGAGAACTATGGGGTTCCCATACTCATGGTGCCGGTGATGGAAGAGAATTTGTCCTGATTTGGTACTCTTTGGAAAGTCGAGTTCGTGGGAGTCCATTACACTGCTGTGACCATACCTGTGTGTTTACACTTTCTGTGATGAAATGTTTTACTGATGACAGAGAGCAGCTTATAAAATGAAACAAGTTCTGCTCTGTGCTGCTGACAAATATTGTTACCTCAGTCTTGATTAAACATACAGCTGAGGCAAGATCCTGTAAGTTTCATGTAATGATTAATTAGTATATGGCCTGCCTTGGAGAATGTTCAGCATGCTGCTGAGGTGAGTGTGTGTTCTATTGTTGTAGGGTGGAACTCTGCAGATATTTTTTTTGTTTATTTATTTATTTTTGTTTTTTTCCTGGTACTGGGAATCGAACTTATGACCTTGTGCTTGCCAGGCAGGCGCTGTGCCGCTGAGCTAAATCCCCAGCCCCCAGATATCTATTAAATCCGTTCATTTCCTCTTTTCTGCTGACAGAACATTGCCATTCTGAGCAGGGCTCCAGCAGCCATGTGGGTCAGGAGGTGGATGTGGATGAGGAGCCTATGAAGGACGGAGAACTATGACAGGGAGAGAAGGTTTCCACCCTAAACTGCTTCATTCTGGACTTCTCTCTTGCTTCAGACTCTGTTCCTTGCACCTAAAATCTAATCTGAATGTCATTTAAGTCTCCAAAACTGAAAATGAAGGACAATTCATTCATACTTCACTGACTTCAAAGCTTGTCTGACTCTCCAGTGAAATAATGGACATGAAAGGACTTTGAAACACATGTAAGGGAGGGGATCATCATGCCTGTCATTGGTATCTCCAAGGCAGATCAGACACTAGGCCTCTACAGTCTGCTTAAATAAATAAAAATAATAAAAATTATCCCATGTGTATTATGAGATAATTGTGGACTGAAACCAGAAATCAAAAGAAAGCAGAAAAAGTTTACAAACACCCAGAGATTAAACAACACCCTTTTCTCCAGTGTGTTTATTTTACACGTTTGCAGCACCCAATGATTGCATTTCTTGTAGGAGTGGTGTGCACACATACACACCTTAGATCTTTTTTCATGTTGTTTCTTTTACAGCCTTCCACACCCTGCCAGGTCTTCTCTTCTTCCTTTTTAAAAGACCTGTCTGCCTCTTTCCTGTGATCCACCTTTTTATATTTTGCACATTCTACCATTTTTACAACCTGCATGTGAAAGAAACCACTGATAGTTAAGCTTGTGTGTCTGATTTATTTCCCTGAAATAATTATGTTTTCAAGTTGCACCCATTTTCCTACAAATTGCTTAAGTTTTTCCCTGTTTATGTCAGAGTGGTACTCTATTGTGAATAAACTTTGTATTTTCTTCATCCATTCTTATGTTGATGGACATATTGGTCACTAACCAGATTTAGCTATTATGAATTATAGTGCTAGAAACATGAGTATGCATATATCATAGTGAAATGGTGTCTTTGACCCTTTCTGAAAGATACCTACAAAGGGGTCAGCTGGGTTGAATGGAATTCCTAGTTTTAGTTTTTGGAGGAATGTCCATACTGATTTCTATAGTAGTTGAACTAGTTTTACATTCCCACCCACAATGTACAGTGGTCCATTTCCCCTGCCTCCTCACCCACATTTATTATTATTTGATAGTTTAATGAAAGCCATTCTGTCTAGGGTAAGGTGGAATCTCGGCACTGTATTTCTCTAATGACCAGAGATGTTGAGGATGGTTTCATGCATTTATTGTCCATTTGCACTGCTTCTCCTGACAAGGGTCTATTCATTTCAGTTGCTCACTTTTTGATTGGGTCTTATTTTTGGGGGTGCTGTGTGATTTTTTTTGAGTTCTTCATCTATTCTAGATATTAGTCTTCTCTCTGAGGAGTAGCTAATAAAAGGATTTTTTTTTCTCTCTGTAGGTTGTCCCTTCTCTCTGTTGGTCATTTCCTTTGCTGTGGAGAAGTTTTAAAATTTGATCCCATTTGTTGATTGTTGGTATTATTTGTTGTGCAACTGGGTTCTGTTCAGAAAGTCCTTTAATACACCTATGTCTTTAAGAGTGTTGCCTATTTTATCTTCCAATAGATTAAATATTTCTATTTTAACATTTACGTTTTTGATCCATTTTGATTTTCACTTAGTGCATGGTGAGAGACATAAATCTGGATTCAATCTTTTGCATGTAGGTAACCAACTTTCCCAGCACCATTTATTAAGAAGTTATTTTCCTTCCAGCATAGGATTTTGGTCCCTTTGTTAAAGTTCAAATAGCTGAATGTGTCTA